TCGAAAATCCTGCGCGACGCAATCACCGTCGAAATTGACTCGGACTCGGGAGAATTTTTGCACGACACGCTACTCAAGCCGAATGACTTGCTGAAAGCCTGCCAGAACCTACTCATTCTGGACGAAGGCCTGGACGTTTTCCGCTTCGCACACCTCTCCGTGGACGAATACTTGGAAACACAACTGCGCGAGGTCGATTGTCACACGGAAATAGCGAAAGTGTGCCTTTCCCTGCCAAGCACTCCTGTCGCTTGGAATGAGTACGACGTGAACCTTGTATGGAGCACCCTGAATCACAGCAATTGTCACCTGCTCTTGTATTCGGCGGCTTTCTGGCCATGGCACCTCCGTCAGTGCGAAGACGGAAACATCAGTCGTCAGATATTGGCTAGTCTTTGGAAGACATTTTTATCAGGCGATAACCACGATCGATGGGTGAAGTATCATCGATCGTGTGTTCAGATCTCGAGTTAGGATCCAAACGACTGTTGGGAGAGGTCTCAGACGATGCAGGATGGATACCGCGATGCATTTTCCTCGGTCTGTGTGTTTGGCTTGGTACGGTGGTTTACGACTGCATTGGAGTCTACTATTGTAGAACAGGCATGCATAGACCGGTTGTTTCTGCAAGCGTCCTTGGTTGGAGATCTGGAAATTCTCCAGCTATTGCTGGATGTGGGAGGCGACGTCTTTACTGTTGATGAAAAAGGGCGAGGGGCATTGGCACTGGCCTTGCAGAGAGGGCACAATCCGATATTCCGACTGCTGATTGATCGAGGAGCCGACGTCTCGGCAGCCGCTGGTGACGGGTGGACGCCACTGCACTTGGCTTCTGTATATGGGAACGAGGAGGTGGCCCGACTGTTGATTGATCGAGGAGCCGACGTCTTGGCAGCCAATAGTGACGGGTGGACGCCACTGCACATGGCCGCGACAAAGGGCGCGAGGCAGTGGCCCGATTGCTGATTGATCGAGGAGCCAGCGTCTCATCGACCAGGGAGCAGCCAAGTGGTCTGTGCGGACAGACGCCGCTGGACTGATCTACATAAAGTGTTTTTTTGTTGGGGCCATGTATCAAGTACCTCTAGAAGCTGTTATCTTGTTTCAACATTGATTCCATGCGACCTACCTAGCTAGAACATAGCAATATCCATACTCTGTTTACACGCCACTTTCTATCGCAACTTTTGTCGAACAGCCCGATGTGGCTTACCCTACCCTGCGCCCTGGCCAGTCCCATCGATAGAGGTACAGCGCACCTGAAAAAAACAGATTCTAAGAAAAACAGCTTCCGCTCCTTACTGCTCTGCCTCGCTGAGATTTTCTTTATTTATTCATAGATTGCATGCGTCCGATGTAGATCATCGCAATATCCACCCATCCCACCCCGCCCCCCCCCCCGTTTCCACGCTACTTTCATCTCGACTATTGTGCCGCTGACAACTTATATTGGACACAAGTTACCTGCTTGATGATCTCGTGCATGATCGCACGCTCGGAACATCCGATTTCATCGCCAATCGTAGCAATTGCTAGCACAAACGAGTGCATCCTCATGACTACGTGTTGATCAATCAGAACGTTTTGTGCATCGGATCATTTGCTCTCACTCACTTCTCCGATCCCGTTCTTGTAAATCGTGAAAAATATTATTGTGAATAGATGCCATAATGTGTTAAGGAGGGGAGACTTGGAGTCTTGATAGTCGGGTTCTGCCTATGGATGGAGTTGACGTGATTCCGGGCTCGTATGCCACGCATCTGGTCGGATTTCGAGTCGTCCAAGTTAAATGCCATCTGCAGGTGGCTGCTAATGTGTGCGTGAAATCTGTGAGGCTATCTGATTTCTTTGTATCTGCCGGCTGCGTTTCAATGGCATCATCGGTGAGCGCCGAAGGAGCGGGGCTTCGTCAGACCTGAGTGAGACCAATTGCCGAAGAGCGGGACCCTACTATCGGCTCTAAGAGTGACTTTGCCGGGACCTGGTGAGACCGGCTGTCTTGGGGGTGACACTGATGCCAATCTTTCTAAAGGAAGACTTGATGCGGTCGTCCTATGCTTAGATGTTTTTGCCGCGACTATTTCTGCCGTCCTTGTTTTCTTATCATCGTCGTCATCATAATCGAACTCTCTTCGAATCATTCACGTTTTTGTTCCTCATCCGTTTTTGCCTCTCTCCTGTAGTCCGGTCATAAGTTGACCACCCCGGGTACGGGGAAAAAAAGCGTGAGTCACAGAGGGAAGAAGGTACGATAGCCGAGAGCGACGTTTTAGGGCAACGAATTGAGTCGGAATTGGAACCAGGAGGCCATTAATCCACATCTGATGACGCTACCATGCCCTGGTATCCCTGTCGGCCACATCGTTAAGCTTAAACCAACGACACGAGCTGACGCGTCCACACGGGCTGCTATGTACTATCACTGACCGCAGGCGTGATCCCTCCCGAAGACCGATCTCAACAGCCGCCGATCGAAGTCTGCGATCCCGATATCGAAACTGGAAAGAGACGTTGGCGCAGGACGGAGCAACAAGGGTATCGGGCCCAGACCGTTACCGAACCGCAGGTGGAAAAAAAGGAACGTGGGCCGAGTGTGATACATTGCGATCTAAGTCGCCTACGATGAGCGGTGCAACAGACAAACGTGAACACAGTGCTAGCTGGCGAGGTTAGCTGCCCACGAGAGAAGCATTGCGCTAGTCTCTTACATGGGCTCATCGACGAAGATAACAGGCACCACGGGTACTGCGGATGGAAGCACCGGGCTCCGACTACAGGCACATGTCGTCGGCAGGAGGTCGGATTCCAGAGTTGAGCGGTATATTCGCGCGACCGCGATGCGAGGAGCTGCTCATCGGGTGAGAACGCGCCGAATGTGCCGCGCTTGAATGGCGTCCAGCACCCGCGCATCGCAATACCTGAGCACATCCAGCGGGGTGCAACTGCGACCGAGAGCGGAGAACCGATAACACCTACCATTTCGTGGTTACAGCGTTTGCTGTGATGAGAGACGGGTGTAGGGAGGGTACCGAAAATCCGCGGCATTCAGTTTTGGCCGGAAGTTCCACGTTAGAAACGTTCCGATTGGCTGCTCGTTGCTTCATCAGCTGTGACTCGCATTGCGTTTTACTTCGTCCCCCATCGATCAGTATGGGAGCGTAGTCGGATGCCCGGTGGTACAGGAGAGCGAGCGCCCGTGATTTGCGCGTGGAAGGTTCGAAATAAGAAACTTCTGCGACGCTTACAACGCTACCAAAGGTGCGCATTCTTACGTGGACCAGAATCGCGGGGAACCGTCCACTTTGAAGGTCATGTGCATTACCACTGTGTGAGGCCTGATCCATGAGACAGTGGAGTACCGTATCGGCGGATACCAGGAACCAGGCGAGTCGTGAACCGTATCGACATGGACGGCTCAGTGGTTGCGGGAAATTCCGTGTTAAAAACGTTCCGATTGGCTGCTCGTTGCTTTTCCCAGGCGTAGCCTCCGATATCTGGTAGCAGCAAGTTCTCCATAGTAACCACTCTAGTTTCAGGCCAGGCACTGGAAGTTGTCGCGCACCAGATCCAGGCTTCTCTCAGGAGTCTCACGTGACGTGAGCCTCAATCCTCGGTTAAACCACCATCTACTCGCAACTCACGCGAGCCAATCTCCAAGCATTACCTACACGTCTGAGATGAAACTGGTGACAGCCACAAAGCCAGCTGGGTAGTACATCGGCAGGCTGCGGGATGCATACATATTTCCTCGGATATATATCGAGCAATTTCACGCGGGTACATCCGTCTCTCGGTCCGGCTACCCAAAGGGGAAAGTGTTACCCGAAACACTTTGCGCCCGTATGACCCTCGCCGCCAAGATTCCCAGCCCCTCCGCTGGTAGAATATATAGTGGAGCTAATACTGACGAACCCGAGAAGACCACCGGCCTGGGAATTCGGGGTTGCGGTTGGGGTTGGGGTTGGTACTCGGATGATGGAATAATGCATGGATACTGGACGGAGATCTTGGAGGTTGGCACAGAAAAGCACCAGAGTGTCTTACGAAACTCGAGTTCCT